TTTACAGGCTCTATTTCTTCATAAATACATGATCAGATTGAAAATGCTTTGTCTGTTTCTTGTAGCTGAAAGCACAGCTGAATGGTGTAAGTGTGGGGGAAATGCATTATCCCCAGTGAGCTAAAGAGCGGAGAGCTCTTTGGGACGGATATCCAGTTATGATATGGCCTTTTGGCACCCTATCAGAATCACCAGCTACTCAGAAATTCCCTTGGTGGCACAGAGCTGATGTAGCAGCTTTACCCCCTCTACACTTTGCAATCCTGGATGGTGTGGTGTGTCTGGGGGAAAATGCACAGTATCAGATACCTCTGAGCTCTGGCTATGGCTGTTTGATGGAACAGCCTTTGGCTAACTCAGAATTGGGGTGTCACAAAAGATGACATAAGTGTTACACTTACACTATGGCGTGTTTATGGAGTTTGAAATTTATTTCAGTACAGAACCATGTAAATCTGGGACCAGATTCTGGTCTCATGGGCACCAGAGTAAATCCAGGATACCTACACTGAAGTCAGTGGAAGAAGTTCCTGGACTGGCCTTTGAATTTCTTGATGGATGCAGCAGCCATTTAATTATTCTTCCCTAGCTCCAAACAGTCAAAAACTTTCCACTCAGAGAACATACTTTCCCACTTCAATACATTAGTTTTGTGCTAAATATTACAAGTGAGTTTATGACATAGTATTTAACTGAGTCCACATTTCTTCGATAGAAAACTTCCTAATCACAGGTTTACACAACCACCCAGAATTGCATGAAGCAGTTACTGGTTACTTTGAGGAGAAACCAGCCAGTAGACTACAATATGCCTAATGATTGTCTGAAATTGCATTTTTGCTGCATGTTGAAGGATTAGTAACTTTTTTACTGTAAATATAAACTCAGTTATACCGTGAAGAAGATTTCATAATGTTAACACTTAGCATGCTGGCACATTCAAGACTGCCTGTCAAAAAAAAATGATCAGAAGAAGATATAAATGGACACACTCCCCAGCCACAGTTTGCAATGGACTAAAGTTCCACATTTGAACATTACAAAAAGAGAAAGGTTTTCGGTTTTGTTTTATAGTAAATTCTACAGGAGATTCTCTCTCCTAAATATCTAATGCATCTCTAAGTTTTATATTTTCTCTATCTTTCCTTAAACACATTCCTGAGATAATTAAAAGCTGTCCTGAATATGAAATGAAGAAAGTGCCTAACAGGGAAAAAACAGAATATTAAAAGATGACACAAAACAGTTTAAAAAAATCAATGTCTATCCCAACAAACTTTTTAAAGTGTCTGCATTTTTTTCCATTGTTTGTTAACATTTTTTAGGGAGTTTAACATGACTAAGAGAAATGCAGAAAATCCTTTTTGCAAGTCACAAAGAAATGAATTTTGAAGTTAACTACACAAATTGTGTCAGAGGAACGTGACCGATAAGAATGCAAAGCAGAACGTATTAGGATTCTAACAACAGTCTTAATTATAAAGCTGATTTCAACACTGACAATTTTGTCAAAACACGGCTCTGGATTCTGCAATGGCTTAGAAATACCTTTTCAAGCAAATATAGTCTTACAAAAAAATACACACAGTGTTGTATAAAACAGACGTGCAAAAGGCACAAGTATCTGCTATTCACACACTTGTTTCCCTATTCTGAAGCAACACCATGATACAAGTGACATTTTGTTCTCTTCTTCTGGGCTCAGAGCATTCAGAAAAAAAATCAATAACATAAATAAGGATTCTGGATGAGATTTTACCAGAGCTTGCTCTCAAATGTCTACACACAATTAAGCAGTAATAGGCCCCAAAAGTGATTTACACCCATAGATTAACTGTCAAGTATCATGAATCAGTGATCTTTAATGGCAGAAATTAAACAGTCTTCGACACGGCAGAAAGCGGAGGATCTGGCTTCATCAGCCTGCCAAGCATCTTCCCTACCTCTCTTGAGAAGGATGCTGATCGTATATCTGGCAGCCAACACTGTAATGAGCTCATTTTTTTAGAACCCAATTGGCTTATAAGAACATAAAAACAGCCATACTGGGTCAGACCAATGGTCTATCCAGCCCAGTATCTGGTCTTCTGACAGTGACTGGTGCCAGATGCTTAAAAGCGAGTGAACAGAACAGGGCAATTTATCAAGTGAGCCATCCTGTCATCCAGCCCCAGGCACTGGCAATCAGAAGTTTATGAGCACCCAGAGCATGCGGCTGTGTCTTTGACTATCTTGGCTAATAGCTATTGATGGACCTATCCTCTATGAAATTATCTAATTCTTGTTTGAACCCAGTTATACTTTTGGCCTTCACAACACCCCCGGCATCAAGTTCTACTGGTATACTATGTGTTGTGTGAAGAACAAGTCTTATGCTTGTTTTAAACCTGCTGTCTATTAATTCCATTGGGTAACCCCTGTTTCTTGTGTTATGTGAAGGGGTAAATAACTTCTCCACACCATTCATGATTTTATAGACCTCTATCCTATTTCCCTCCTTAGTTGTCTCTTTTCCAAAATGAACAGTTACAGTCTTTTTAATCTCTTCCTATGGAAGCTGTTCTATACCCCTAATCATTTTGCTGCCCTTCTATGTATTCTTTCCAATTCAAATATATCTTTTTTGAGATGGGGTGACCAGAACTGCATGCAGTATTCAAGGTGTGGGTGTATCATGGATTTATATAGAGGTAATATGATATTTTCTATCCCTTTCCTAATGGTTCCTAACATTCAGTTCTTTTTTTTTTTTGACTGCTGCTGCATATTGAGTCCATGTTTTCAGAGAATTACCCACAGGGACTCCAAGATCTCTTTCTTGAGTGGTACCAGCTAATTTAGACCCCATCATTTTTGTATGTACAGTTGGGATTATTCATGAAGCTTTTTAATTTAGAAGAAGGCAAACCAGCAGTTAAAAAATGACAAATTACAAAGTTTCTTCCTTCTCTTATAAATATAGCTCATTGCTTCCTACAGTGCTGTGGGACAAAGTCTGCTCTTACTTACTGCTTGTGAGGTAGCACCAACAGCAGAGAATTTCTTTTTCAGAGTAGCAACAGGACCTGGGATTATCACTAGATAATCAATAGATGCTGATTGTCTGCTGCCTCTTCTTTCACAGTAAGCAATGAATCCAACAGATGCCTGGCTTTATATGCGGGCTGAGGCTATTTCTTGGTTGCTGAACATTGTATAAGTGATCAGACAGTGGAAGGTATGTAGCAGCAGATCCTGCCCCTATCTTTGTGGTTGTACAACTGGCATTGGTGTGCTCCCATTGCATAAAGGTTGGGGGCGGAATGGAAGACAAGATAAAGGAAAGCAGACAAACCTTGAATGCTATAAAACCTAGTTCCACAGGGGCTAATCATACCATCATCCCAAAGATGGTAGGCATACAGATGCTACTCCCACAGCTCCACTACTCTTCCTTGGCCTCAAGGGCAGATTCCCATCAGGCAGTGTCTCACCCCGAGACAAGATAATTGAGCTAGGCCCTAGCAACTGAATTTACCCTTTAAGCAAACTCTCCAAACATGGTAAAATATGTAATGAGGGCCAGACCATGATAACCTTACTCACTTTGGCAGTCCCATTGACATCAGCAAGGCTGCTTGTGGAGTAAGGAGCGGCAGACGCACATTCTGACACTCAAACATGAGCTCAGCAGATTGCCACCTAAAACTGGCTAAATGGTTGTTTGGAGCAACACAGCTCAACTCAAATCCATTCTTGGAGAATAGAGATCAATGGTGGTTGTGTTGCCAATGAAAGCAGTGAAAAAACACATCATATGCTAAACATAATCTCTCATTTAGGCATGAGAAGCTCAAAGTTTCAACCAGCTATGGCCATCTAGGATACAACAAGGCTGCTGACTCCTGGAGTCAAGTGATTACATGAGAATCTCAGCTTTCAGGAAGGAAAAAAAGGAGTATGTTTCTAGCCCTCATGATTGAGCATTTCTCCACACTACATCACCACCTGAGTCTACTGTAAAGACTCAACAGCCAACACCGCCCCACACTCTATTATTCTTTTTTAAAGAGTCTTATGATTTTAAATCAGTCTCATAATTTGAGGACTGACTCATGATTTTTAGCAAAACTGTAACTCAGTGCTTTCCTGAAGGAAACATCTCTAGAGATGAGCAGGTAGTTAACTTTCAGCACTGCTGAGTGTACCACGAGATGCTAATAGTGATAGGTGAAGAACCTGATGTGGACCACCATGCTCAAGGAACTGAATTAATACCATCACCTTTCTCCAGCTGGACCACCCTTTTCAACCATTAGCTAACAACAACAGAGAGTACTACTGAGTAACTTGTGGAAGATATGAACTGCTGACCCAGAAATGACAAGCTTTGTGTCCCGGGGCCCAGTCATCTGAGGCAACCAAGTTACATTACTGAGAACGCAACTTAGAAATGGGCAATGAGAAAGCACTTAAAGCAATTGAACTCTGTTAATAAATGATATTGTCTGTGCAAATTCTAATTGCTATAACCAGCAGCAAAATGAATTTTCAATTGATGACATTTTCAATACAGCTTTATTAAATATTTGCTGGATAGAACATCTCTTGCAACAATTTATTTTAAACATTAAAATGAAATACATCATATTGTTTGCAATCTCTTTATTTGTTCTGCTACCGCTTTCGGTAGAGAGTTTATGTTTCTGACTCAAGTTGAATTGCAGCTAAAATGCTCTAGCTACAATTGACATTATGGTAAAAGATAACCTTCAGAATCCTAAAAAAAATTATCCAACAAAATAAGTCATTAGATTATCTAGCTTTTCAAAAGACAGTGAGATGTGTTCCCGTGAATCAAAGACATCTGAACAAAACTTCTCCAGAGCCAGATCTTCAGCTAGTGTAATGGAGCTGCATTCAGTTACAACAGCTGCGGATCTGAAGCTCAGATTTTCCTACATAAGAAAACGAAGTTACAGCAGCACATGATATAGCTAGTAATGATAAGAAGTGCCTACCTTCTGAATAGCTCTGGTCCATCTTGCTTTTGCCAAACTACTTATGTAAACTTGATCTTTATTGCTAGGAAAGAGGAAAAAACCAATTGTTACTGAACATATATAAATATCAGAACATGATCAAATAATGTTATCTATATAATGGAATTTAGGCAGGTCCAAAACCAGCTCTGATAAAGCATACATTGGAATAATCATCATGAGGCTTCTGTGATCAAAATGACCAAGAACTGACATCTGTTTTGTATATTTAGTTTTACTATAGGGTACAATATATTCAATTTTCACAGACTGTTACTGTACTTTCTGAAGTATTCGTTTTGTACAAAAAATACTCTGGCAATCACTGTAACAGGCGTAATATCTTGAGAATGAAAAAGCTGATCCAGAAATGCAGGCAGAATCATCAAACTACTCTGGTTTGAGGAATGTAATTGTTTTAGCTGTGTCCTCATCAGCAGAGACTCAGGGCAGGTCTTCACTACAGGGGGGTGTCGATTTAAGATACGCAAATTCAGCTACGCAAATAGCGTAGCTGAATTTGACGTATTGGAGCTGACTTACCCTGCTGTGAGGATGGCGGCAAAATCGACCTCCGCGGCTCCCCGTCGACGGCACTTACTCCTACCTCCACTGGTGGAGTAAGCGCGTCGATTCGGGAATCGATTGTCACGTCCCGACGAGACGCGATAATTCGATCCCCGAGAGATCGATTTCTACCCGCCGATTCAGGTAGTGTAGACCTAGCCACAACTGGTGTACCCCCCCCCCCAGTGTCACAGCCAGGCAATGCATGATGAAACATGGAGAAACAGCCTGGTCACAAGTGGTGCACAACACTCACAAACTCCCATAATACAAGACAATTCTTTTTTCCATGAAAAATGGACACCTTGTTTCACGAGGTAGATCAATGGCAATTATGATCAATAATTGAAACAATGTTACCATGTCTCCTTTTTTCCTACATTTCCCTCTGTGTCTGTATTTTTCTTAATCATGTCTCTCAAAGCCATGCTTCAGCGTGCTGTTTAATTTTACCTGACTTCAGCCTTTCATCTCTTTTCTGTTACTTTCTCTCATGAGATTTTCTACATTTTCTGTTTAGTTGTTTATTTTATTTTTCCTTTTCTTCCCTGGCAGCGTCTTTTATTATCAAAATTTTAAATTGATTTCTGTGTTTCTGTTAAAGGTAATTGAAACTATTTACAATATAAAGTGTTACTTTGCATTTCCTTCCCCTCCTACTTACCTTCTCTGAACTCTCTGTTCCTTTGTCATTCTCTCTCTTCTCCCTCAAATCCCCAAGGAAACAACTCTCCCCCACTTTGCCTGCCACTCTCACCTTCCACCAAACCTCCCTTCTCAATCCCAAACTCTCCTTCTGCCTGGAGGAACTCTGCTTTCCTTCCCCCACTCACCTCCACTCCCCACAAAGGTTCCCATCACACATTTAATTTTGCCCTTCTATTTGTCCAGTCCCCTCTTCAATCTTTTCCTCCACCTTAGAGAATATGTCTCAAAGAGGCTAGAAAATTGCTGGTGCTCTGAAATTAGCTTGTTTAATTTCAGGGAGGAGGTGGGGAGAGGGGAAAGAGGGCACACTGGAAGTTCTCTTTTCCAGAGCCAGAGAGTATTAAACACCTAAACACTGGCACTCCAATGCACAAAAATGAAGGCAGGCAGACCTCTAGATCATAAGATAGCCCCAAATCATGAAGGCTGAGAGGTCTGATAACTGGGAAAGACTAGCAAAATAAGGGGGCTGTTTCACCATCCTCCACCAATGATAGACAACGAAGAACACATTAAGTATGATTCTACCTTAACAAATCTGATGAACAGAACAGTGAGTCAGAAGACTTGAGTTCTATTACTGGTTCTGCCATTGACCTTCCATATGACCTTGAGCACCTCAGTCAGCAGATCTGTTCCTACTGTATATGCAGAGTTATACTGAGTGACAAAAGCAAGTTCTGTCTTATGTATTGCAGCACCAACATAAAAGGGAACAGGCTGCACCCTATTCCTTCTTATGAATCACCAGCAGCATTGTTAATCAATTACCAAAAAGTTACCCCTGTGCAATCTCCCGGAAAGCAACAGAGTGACCTAGGGGTCATGGGAGGCTTACTTTGTGCACTTGTTACTAAGGGTCCAATTTGGCATCCAGAATCTCTCGCTACATCACAGTGAAACACCGCAGCTAGACCCAATCTCAGAAAAATCAGATTTAATTAGGACAACCTACAGGAATCAGAGAGGTGATTATGTATACACACATGAAGTGCCTGCACTTATAATCTTGGGTGAAGTTTTAATGCTTCCTAATGGGAGCTGCCTGCCCAACTGCCTTGACTTTCAATGGCAGTAAGGCACCTAACTCCTTTAGACTATTCAAATTCCTAGCCTTGGTCAATTGCCTTTGCCACCTACAAAGCATCATCTGAGCCTCTGCAGCATTACTCAGTTTCTATAATAAGCATAAGGAATACAGCCAATACCAAAGTAACATTATATAGTTAACTTTACAGTTTTGCCTTAGATCAGAATGATGGCTATTCTGTTTGTGTGCATAATCTTTTTATTTTAAGTATCAGTACAAGTTCCTCCTTAGACTTTGTTTAAAAATCAAAATCACTTCAAAGCTATTAGAGCACAAAAAAGCATCTAAAATATCAAATTTGTAGTTTGTCCTTTATAGACAAGCCTTTTTGTTCCTGTTGTTAAGGTCTTGGTCTCCAATCCTGCAAAGGCATACACATGTGCCCGTGAGTTCAACATGCTCAAAGTTAAGTCCAGGCATAAGTATTTGCAAGATCAAGATGCCAAATATTCAGCTCAGAGCAGATTTCTACAGCCAAGTTGCAAACCACTGAAAAACAAGGGAAGTCTGAAAATGCTTACAAGAGTCTTATGGGTAGCTTACAGTCTAGTGTTAGTCCATTACAATCTAATGTCCAACTACCAAAGTTAAACACTTCAACATTTTACCAAAAAAATTATTTAACACAATGTTATGACACAATTTATGTGCTGGGAGAAAAATGTAATTTCAGAGAAAATGGTCCTGTTATGTCTAGCTGGAGAGACCCAATAGTTATTCAAAGTATGATCTTCTTTGGCAATTTAATGGTAACAATAATAGGAAATATGAGGAGCACAACACATACAACTTACTATAAGAAATAGTCAAATGGAAGCCCTGTTCTCAGAGGTGCTATGTACTCAGCAGCTCCTGTTGAAGTGACTGGGAGCTGCCAGGTGCTCAGAACCTGGAAATTGAACCCCCTTGCCTTGCATCTTGTGTAGTCCAGCTCACACCTGTGCAAAGTGGGTGTAAAATGATTCCAAATCCAAACTGTCACAGCAGTGACCGGGGAAAAGGCAGGCAAAGTATTAATCCACGGGCAAACTGCAGTTCTGAGATAGCGCCAATAGATCCACATAGAAGAAAAAGTTGCAAAGTAATGCTCTTTAAAGGGGGAAAATTAAACTATTCTTACACCTGTAGGGTTCTATCAACCCAAGAAAGTTACCTGGCTTGGCTAGCACTGCAGTTCAGTTATAACCTCTGTTCAATGCACAGCTGTGGTCCAAAGAGGGTAGAGCATTAGATGTTAGAATGCAAAAGGCATAGGATGGAGAAGAACACTAAAACTATCAGAATGCCTTTTTATCAATCAGTGGTGTGGTCTCACCAAGAGTGCAGGATATTGCAGAAGTGGAACGTGCTCAGAGAACAGCAAGGAGAAAGATCAAAGGCATGGGGAAACTCTCATATGAAGAGAGATTGAAAAGATTGGAGCTCTTACCTTAGAGGACATGTCTACACTAATACATACTGCACAGCAAGGCTTGGATGTAAATCTACAGCACTGTACAGCAGTGTGTATTAGGGAACTTTTAGTGCACAGCAGCAGGATCCACATGGACAGTTAGTGCAAGGCACACTGGAACACAGTAGATTTACACGCCAGTGTGGTACGCACAGTGTTTATGTAGAAATGCCCATAGAATTGAGATAAATAAGATGATAGAAATATGTAACAAAGAATGGTCTAGAGAAGGTAGATCTGTTCTCCCTATCTCATAACACAATAGCAAGGGGACATTCAATTAAATTAAAAATAGGGAATTTAAAACTGATAAAAAGAAATACTTTTTTGCAGAACATGTAAAAAACCTGTGGAACTCATTGCCACAGGAACTTGTTGAGGCCGAGCACTTAACAAGATACAAAAAAAGGATCGGATATTTTCATGGATAACCAAGAATATCCAGATTTTTCATAACTAATGACATTCTGGAAGTGATATTAAACCTTGTGCTTATGTCAATTGCTAATTGTTACAAATCAGGATGAGACCCATGTGAAGAGCAGACTATTCCACAGCTACCTACTGCAGGGTTCTTACACCATCTTCTGAAGCATCTAGGTTTGGCCACTGATTTGGTTAGGATACTGGAGTAGGAAGTCTGCTGGTCTGATCCAGAATGGCAATACCTATGTTCCTGTTACACTTACAGAGGATTCCATTAAGAGCTCAACATTTCCCACCCTGAGTACGCTATGTATAGTAAAGATATCTGCCTCTGCTTAAATGTTATTATTGCTTTGCTATTTCTATCGCACCAACAGACTGCTACATGCTTTACAGACCAGTAGGAAGATGTGCACAATCCCTGACCCTATATTGAAGGAGTGACACACAGCAGAGTTGGTAAGTGACTCTATTTCCTGGCCCCATTCACCTGACATAGGTCAGGGTAACAAAAAGTTCTATATCCCAGTCAAATGGCAGGGGTTAGTATAAGGAGTTAATAATCTACACAAGCAAGTTGTAGGAGGAATGGGAAGCAACACGAGGTCATGAGGTTGAATATCAGAGTGATTTTTGTTTGGCTTTTTAATTATGATGATTAAGTCCTAATGTCTTTAGACATTTGCAGAAAGGTAGTCTGGTTTGTCAGCACTTCGTAGAGTTTCCAGATAATACTTAGAATAGCAGATAGTGCTGAGCTACTGCAGCATGGAAAATATTCACTCTTTAAATGGTTCCC